AAAATGGAATTAGAACGACCCTATCATTATTCCATCCCTGGGATGTTGGTATGATAAATTAAAAGAAAAATGTCAAATCATATCAGACACAAATGTGCTTTGTGTTCTAATAAAGTCAGTACATGTAAACTAAACAATAAGGCTCAGTAGCCAGGACTTGTGCTTAGACTTTGTCACGTTTGGAAACAAGAACATGGGAGCCCCCGCTGTGTAAGTCTACGAAACATATTTTCCAATAAGATTTTACCATCCTCAGTGAGGGAATATTCAACTCAAAGTAACAAAGTGTATGATAAGCAGTTACAGACAATGAAATCGTTGGCCTGCTCTAAACACTTTGTCCCCCTTGCTGGTTTCATTTCTGAGAGCACCTTGTGGTCTACTGTTGATCAGCTTGGGAAACATCTTTAACAGGATCATGTAAACTGAAAGGGATCCCAGAGTGCTTCACAACAAGCGCATTTAGCTGTTAAAAGATTGACAACATCCCTGAAGTATAATTTTTCTGAAGCAGAAAGACTGAAGTAGAAGAAGATAAGACACATAAACTACAGGCCTTCCTCATCACTACCAGATCCCTGGAAAAAGTTTCCTGTTTCTCTAAATCTCAGCTTTCACATGTGTATAAAGAGATAATTACGTGTAACTTCAAATAATTTCCATACATATAATTCCTTTACACATTTAAACTGGTTCTGATTTTTATTTTTCTATTTTATCCTATTTCTTGACCTGGAAGACTTCCGTATATGGTACAGAAAAAAAAAAAAATGCCTTGACAAATTTAAACCCATGCTTAATTTAGAGTTTCTCAAGCTAAGCACTATTGACATTGTGGGCTGGATAACTTTTTGATATGGAGGGCTTTCCAGTGCACTGTAGGATATTTAGCAGCAACTCTGGCCTATACCCATCAAGTGTCAGTAGCACCCCTCAAATCATGAAACAAAAAATATCTCCAGGCATTGCCAAAAGACCTCTGGGATGCAAAACCACCCCTGGTTGAAAACCATGGCCTTAAATGCACATAACCCACATGAATCAAGGAGAGTTTCCTGAAATTTTTCTGTCTCTCACCTAAAGGTGTAGATATACCACTGACCACTGGCTGCAATTAAAAAAGACTACTGATGATTAATGTGTATTCTATGTCTATTTTAGCTTTGAAAAATTCATTGTTTTTTGAATAAGATACCACTCTTCACTATATACGTGGATATGAGTTTGAATTTTCCCCAGAAAATAGTATTGTTTGAATTCCACATGAGGAGACCAGCTTTACTTAACATTCTCAAGGACTGACATCCACAGTAAAGACAAACTATTGTGCTGAAATAAAAAGCTGTTAAACTATGCAACCAAAGGCTTTTTCCACACACTCAGATAGCACTCCCACACACATTATCCACTGAACTGACATAAACCTAAAAATTGCACATGGTTATGTGCACACTCACACATGCACACTGATATAATTTGAAAGCAACTCTCATTACTTTATTAAACATCAGTTCTGCTTCCATTTGTGATGGATGGAGACCACGTCAGCAGGAAGAGAATATAAAGTTATGTTGATTTTTCACTGTGCAAATGCCGGTAAATTATCTAAAGGTCAATTCTAAAAATAAACTGATAAGATGGAGGAGGTTGCTGGAGACAAGAGACTTAATAAACCCTCTGGTTGGCATATAAGTGCTTTTACAAAGCTGCTTAACAGGAAGATTACCCCCGCCCTCCTCCAGGACAAGCCCTTGATAGTAGCTAGGCCAGGCACATTTTTCTTTATCCTTTTAAAAGTAAATTTCCTAAATAATGCAAGGATGACAGTCTGGGAACTTAACATTTTTTACCTAATTGGCAACAAAATTTGTTCACAAACAAGAGAAACATTTTTGAACCTTAGGAAGCTGGGACAGAAAAGGAATCCCACTTAGGAAGCAGAGGAGAGAGGGCAACAAACTGAATCAAATTTAACCATTTTTGTTTTAATCTTGGCCAGTTTAACATAATTAGTTGCTCATGTTCAACAGTTTCATTAAGCATACTTCACTTTCCTTTGGCAATAATATTTACTCACATATTCACTCATGATCATGACAAGCGTGATCTCTATTTTTATCTTTCTTATAATGTGGGAATTTGGTATGTATCCAGTTATTCTGTTAAATGAATAGAGTCAATTGGATCATTGAAACCCGTTTGAATTCACTCTTTCTTGCTTTCTTTTTCTTTTCTTTTCTTTTTTTTTTTTTTTCTTTTTTGGCATTTATTCTCAAACATGAGTTTGGCTTCAAGTTTTTAGTTAATGTCAGGGTTCATGATCTTCAATTATCTGAGAGCTTCATAGTCCTGATTGAGTCAAATTGGACAAATTTAGCAGTTCAATGGCACAGGATTTGTTTGGTAAAATGTAGCTGAATTCACTAATCATTCCATATTCATTTTGGTTATATTTTATGTGCAGTTAATGGAATCACCTTTGGGGCCATATACATCATTAAATTATGGGTCACTTTCAATTTCCTCCTACTCATACTAAGTAAGGGCCTAGAAATAAACAACTCTCTTTGGGAAAGATCATTATTTTTATTTCTTGTTGGGTATCATTAGAATACATCTTACTCAGAGATGTGCTCCCATCTACCCAGAGCTAAGACTATAATAATGTAGGCTTTTATTTTGGGAAAAAACCCATACACATACACACACAATATGGAGAAAGGGTTATGGTTGACATACAGCAGATGAAATGGCAAAGAATTCATGAAAATCTACTCTGCCCTAGTCTTAGGATGTTTTTCTTTGGGTTTTTTCTCTTAAGATAATGAATAATGCATGCTTTGACTTATTTGTAGTGGGAAGGAAGTAAGAGAAAATGAGGAAATGCTTCTAAGAAGTAAAGGAACTGTTGGTCTCTGCATATTCCCTAAATAGCAGAATTTTTCAAAATAAGGTCTATAGACAATCTTCATCAAAATTATTAAGGAGACTAGCTCAAAACACAAATTTCTTGGCCCTGCTTCAAGTTTCTGAATCAGACTCTTTGAAGATAGGTTGAAGGAATCTGCATTTTTACAAGTGCTACACATGAATTTTATGCATACTGAGTATTAAAAAACACTGTTAAAAAGCTTGCAATGGAGATCACTGGAAAAAGAATCTCCATTCCAACATATACAGCAAGATGAGAATAATAGGCATTTCAAACAAATAAGCTCTATGCTTGCATCACAAGGCTGTGATTATTAAAGTTTAAGACTCTATTCTTTCAGCAGTGGTAGAGAGCAATAACCATTTCGTCTGAAACCAGAATGATGAAGGCAATATAAATCAAACCTATGCCAGCAAGTTTCATTTGGTCTAATTTCTCTGCAGATATTAATCATTATACAGTTCTATACAAATGACATGTAACTCCATTGTAACTCAGGATACCGAACGTTCGCTCTGGTTCTTTCTCTAGTGTGCTATTTTGACAATATAAAAGAAAATAAATAAATTAAAAATGTGGGGCATCAAGATTGCAAGACGCCAATAATACCAAGACATTAAAGAGAGAAATGGCCCATGCTAAACCCGTAACCCAGCATGCAAATTGGCAAAAACGTTTATCTGCCAAAGAGTCACCATAAGGAAAAATGAATTCCCTTCGTTTTTCTTTTGAAAATTGGTGTGTCAGGTGGAGGTGACAAAGAATTCTTCCTAAAAATTCACAGAAAGAATCTTATTAATTCTAGTAAAGATCATCTAGGAGACTAAGGCTAGTCAAATTCCATGGCATAGTATATAGTGGCAGAAAATACCAGCACTCAAATTCACAGATCCACTCTATAGTAGATACAAAGTTGGAAGGCTGGAATTGCAACAAAGGAAAACGTATAAGAATCAAAATTTGGTTCCCATTGTGGGAGCTGGTGTCAAGTAATTTTGCAAAACACCATACATGCCTTCCTTTTGTCTCATTGGAGCATGTTTTGTCTGACACCAACAAAGGATACTCAGAGAAGAATCTAAAGCCCAGGAAAGCAAAAGTAATCCAGAAGCACAGGAAGTAATGGGGCCCAGAACAAGCAACACATCTGTGCCTATGGATAAAGGTTCCTCTGAATCGAACAAGGCTAACTGAAAAGAGAAAAGTTCCATGTCAGCACCCTTTAATAAATGTGTTCCCCCAAAATGAATTGGTTGGAATAGATACAACTATGAAGGAATAAAGAGCAAAGGGAAAACTTATTATTTGTGCATTGTTCCCCCTTTTATTTTAATTCACCGTGCATGCATTTTCAGTAAGATAACTGTGCCTATAAATACAAAGGATAACATCAGTGCATATATTGGAAGCCACTTCACTTCATTATTTTTTGACAGCATTTCAGTGCAATTTTTCCTAGCGGGGGAAAGAAAATCACACTACCATATGATCTAGTAGTTTTATATTCCTGTCTTCCCCTTTTCCTGCTGAATGTGGATCAGTTCATTTTTGATAGTGGGTAGAAGGACTTTGTAAATACGTTTCTGACTTTAGACGACTCACATACCTTTAGAGAATGATCTCCCCAAGCTCACTGGATTTTAGTGGGATTTCCCAGAAGGCAATCTAAGTTGGGGCTCCATACATGTGATTCCCCATTCATTGTATCCATTTGATATTACTACTTTCTTTATATTAGCAATTTATGGCCCTTGTCATAACCAATGTTCTAGAAGCAAACCACATACATTTTTTGTTCAGAATTAAACAAAAAGTTCTAAAAACTATTTTAACTTCAGGGAAACATGCCCGAGTCACAGTGACTACCAGAGTTACTAGAGCATGTACTCTTATAACTCACTTACCCAGAACTCATTTCCAATGTTGCAGGCTACCTGAACCTCACTTGATAACTCCACTCAAACTAGGTACTTTAAGCCTCCTCAGAGCCTTTTACTGGCCAGGTCTATGTTCATCTCTATACCAACACTCACACAAATAAACGCCATGCTATTGTCTTAGTTACTTGAATATTTTACTATGGGATGGGTGCCAGCCGAGAGGTGGCCCAAAATAAAAATACTGCTGTTGTGATTGTTTTAAACAGGTTTTCTATTCTAGCTTTGTTCACTGGGTATATAAGGAATGTCAGAGCAGAGAAAACTGATGACAGGTCAGGGGTCAGAAGAACACTGCCATTAACACTCCTTTTGCAGTGTTTAATTTCCTGTTTAAAGAATGTAGTAGAAATATTGGGTTGACTATCATCTTAATTCTTTAATTCTTATGAGGGTATCTCTCTATCGTGAGGCCACTACAGTCAGGTCTGAAATTTAAGGAAGTTGGAACTTTGGCCATTTTAGTTAGACACCAAAGTCTTTGACAGCACTTCCAGTGATAACACAATTATCATATGACCAAAGTGAGTTTCAGGATATTTTCCCCAAATTCAACTTCTTGACCCATTAAGCTCTGTGATTCTTTGCAAGATCTTCTGTTATTAGGATGATGGTATTTTCATGTGCTATCAAGAAACATTGAAAAGAATGAAGACATACTGGTAGGCTTTACAAACAAAGCTATGTTGTAGTTAAGATCAAATATCTGCTAATATATTAATACAGAAAAGAACATCACTTAAATTCATAAATTATAATTCTCTTGACAGCTCAACTCCCAAGATATACTTTCTTTTTCACTTATGTAAAAACTTTAAACTCCATTCAAACCTTCAGGACAAGGAAAACTTAGCTGAGCCTGTCATCCAAGTGTGAAGGCGAGAATTACAAAAATTCAGAAAAATATTCATATACTAATCATCACTAAGAACAGAAATCAAGACAGAACCTCTTACATAATAAATGTGCATCAATGAAAGATTTTAAAAGGAAGAAATTAGTCATTGTTTTCCTCCTATAGATACCATCCAATTGCCTTTATTACCTGTGGTACACATACACACATGCACACACACGCAATGAAACAAATTAGGAGTGCTTGGCACACAATTAATAATTGACAAATCAATTTTTGGTTACTACTGAAATGCATGAGGAATGCTGAAAATAAAAACTGGTCTTTCAACCTTCATGTAGCACAAGTCTATGAAAGAGCTATTGGTACCTTAGTAAAATACAGAGTTACATGGATGGATGGCTATTAGCGGTTTCTTTTTGGCTGTGTCTATACTGGTCAGGATGTAATTGAAAAAGATTGTTTCATTTAGAAATCGGAAACCTTAACTTTGGAGCTTTAGTTACCTTGCTGGGTTGTTACAAACATCATAAAAATGACACAGCTAAACCCTAGCATGGGCACAGCCAAACCCCGAATCCCAAAGGCAAACAAAAAAGGCTACCAGCAAGTAAAAATGTAGCTTCGTAGCTTAAAATTTTTATAAGAAATTATTAGATTGTATGTGGAATACAACTTTCTCTAAAACAAACAAAAGGCCGGACCCTTATTTGAGTACTGTGTGTTGTCCTTAGTTCCACAACACAGGAACACAGAACTTAACGTGGTTTACGTGGAAAGGCCACACCATTAAACTGTGGGCAGTAAGAACTCTGAAAACATGGAGAGAAAGGTGATAATTTAGTTCAGGGTAGAGAAGGCTGAGTGTGGGGTCATTTAGCAGAAAATTTTGCGAATACGAATGTTTGATTTTTTAACACAAAGAATGTTTGACCAGCTCTCCTCATCCTCTCTTAATGCAGACAAAGAGCAAAGCAGTAAAATGGAGCCTGAGGGTATTAATTTCAAAATAAGGAATACAATTTGTTGATGATGAGGGTCATTTGATGTTAGAAAGCGTTGTGAAGAAAGGTTGGGAAATCTTCCCAAAAGAATTTTAAGAAAGAGTCAGAAGCTCATCCATCTGAAATGTTCTAAGAGAGGGCTGCTGGGAGCAGGAGTACAGCCCTTGGGATGTCTAGGCCCTGGCATCGTGTGCGTAGTGTGTATATACATACTTAGTTGTGCTTATGTTGCACAAATACTCATGCATACAGAGTCAATATAAACTGGCACATATAGATTTGAGTGAAAAGTCATATAAATCTGCCATTCCCCCCTTACCCCATAAACAAAAGGAAAAAGCAAAATTTAAAATTCCAAACTTATGCCATTGGGCCAGATCTTTTTTTTTTTTACCATACCCTCATTCAAAGGAGGGAGGTAGAAGATGAGAGAAAAAAACCCGGTTTGGGATAAACAATTCCCAAGGCCTCTCAGCTACTTTTATATAGCTGACTCTCATTATATATAAGATACTTAGCACATGGGACCAAGTAAACAAACAAATAACTAAAAAAGATTTTCTTGTACTTCCACATCTAGAAAGAAATCTACCCTGTGGATTTACATGTTAAGGTGAACTAGGTAAAGTAGGCAGTAGTATATCAATGGACTATTGTGTTCTAAGAAATGTGCATCATTAGTTGTATTTTTTCCTTTAAAATATGAATTCCTTTTAGGAGATTAATTTCAAAATGAAGATTTTTTTTTTTTCTTTTTATCTTCCCACCCCCAGCCCTCCCTTATAGATGATACTTCCGTAAAAGTTCAGATTGCCAAGGATGTTTTCTCTCAGGAAACCGATCTGGAATTTTGATTTTTAGGAAATCCTGGATACATTTCTCCAGCTCCTCCTCAATTGACAGCTTTTCTTTAACAGCTTTTTTTTTGCTGCTCATGTTCGATTCCCTGGAGCCTGAAGTCAGAGTCCGGAGTAAGTCGCTTTTCCGCCGCATCTCTGACTGTTGGATCAGCTGGACAGGGCCCTTCTTGATGGGACGGTCCAGAGTCTGGATGTTGGTCTGGCGTGTCACGGGACCACAGATGACCGTCTCCTGGGGAGAGCTGGCCTCAGACTGGCTGTCGCAGCTGGATGTGGAGAGGTCATTGCAAGACGTGCCACTCTCCCCTTCTTTGTCACCTTTGCCATTCTTGCAGCAGCAATCGCAGTGTGAGGGTGACCATCTGGAAGGCTCACCTGAAAAGAAAGCACAGGACCCAAAGGATTATTGCCAGCCAGGTCAGTTGGAGTAGCAGTATAGCACTTGGACATACACACAAACACATATAAGAGAAGCACCATGGAACCATGCTTTTAGAAAAAGTGGGGTGGTACCCAGGGTGGGCTGCAACAGGAGCCAAAAGCCAAGTCCATGAGGGGAGGAAATTAATGATGGCATGCTATATAAGAAGAAATATAGTATAATGTTTGAGCCCATGAACACGGGAGTCAGAAATACCCAGCTAACATCATTTATTAAGCTTGTCACCTTGGCACATTCCTTAGATTTTCAGAGTCACTTTCCTCATCTGTGGTTTAAGGGTAATAATTTTCCTACTATCTGGAGTTACAGGAAGGAGTTAGATAAGTCAAAATTCTTAATGCAGTATCTCTCTCACAGTAAACTCTCAATAAAAGCTAGCCGATTTCCCATAGCTGATGAAAAGCTCCAAGTGACAGCAGTCAGGTACAACAGGAGGACGCTATCAAAACAGAATGACAGTAACCAGAGAAGGCGGACTGACTCTGTGCCTGTCCCTATCTGGGTATCTCTCAGCTCCTTGGTCCTTAACGAAAACTCTGTTAACTCAGTAGTTTCAATTTCAGTCTCCATACAAGGAAACTAAGACCCCAAGAGTTTAAGAAACTTGCCAGAGTTTGTACAATTTGAAAGTGGCAGAGCTGAGATTTGAATACAGACCTTCCAAGGGCCATAACCATACCAATTAACCATTTTATTCAGTATCCTTGTTAGTAAAATCTTTGCTTCTACTTCAAAACAATTTTCAGGTTATAACTTCTCTGAATTTCTTGTTAACCTCTCCTCAGATGTATTTGCTTTTTTCTCCTCTCTGAATTATAGTTCTACTTTGTAAGTTCCTCTATTATAGCACATATTACATTTTGTTATATATCATATTAGCTACTAGGCCATGAGCTCCTTAATATGAGCATAGTGAAGTATCCATTGTTGTAATAGAGCAAATACGCCAAGGAACAATGTAGAAATTCAATAAAAGGCTGTCTTATAACTTTTAAGTATCTGGATCTAGCCACACCTGAAGCTAGTCTTGCCAGTGAGCTTTTCATTTATATGATAAACTATATTCTGTGTCATTTTTACAGCCAAGGTGAGTCCCTCTTCTCCCATTCCTCTGAGTCTTGACTCATAATACTGCATTTAGCAATTTGAAGGCAGAGCAATGTTGCAGATGCACAGTGGCTCCATGAACCAGAAAAAAAAAAAAAAAAAGTCCACAATCATGGCACAAAGCAACTTCCTAAAAATAAGTCACTGCCCCCCACTTCCACCCTCTGAACAACCACAGTCTTCCTGGAGTCATAAACTTAATACTATTTACTGATCATGTATTACATGCTGGGCACTTCTACAATTCTTTGTACTTAATCCATAAAAATAAAGAGAACAAATTCCTTTATGATGTTGAGGACAAGGATAATGTAGTACCTTTATATAGTTTTAAAGGAGACCCCATTTTGGTTTACACCATATCTTATCCTCATGAATCATAGGTCACATTATGTAGGATCTTACTTTATTGCCATTTCTAACATAGTCAAAGTAGAGAAAACTTAGAATGAAAACTATTAGGAAAGTTATGTCCTATCTTCTTGGATAATGCCTGTTCTTTACACACTAAATGATTTAAACATATACCTACTTATCTCCATACAATTTTTAAAGAGAAAGTAAAACAAAAGTTTCTATAAATCACAACTCCAGAAGTATTCCTAAATTATACCCACTCTTTCAAGTCACTTTCTAAAATGTGACTGAGTAATCATTGTGTTTTTAAAGCTGTTAAACTAAATGCAACAATCCAATTAGCCAAAAGGAATCACAATAGCAGTATTGTTCTAGTTATCTCATGCTATTATACATTTTCCATGCAATACAGAAACTGTTCAACATATACCAGCTGGGGACTGAAAATATCAGTAATAGAAAATGGTTTCTGTCTGCCAGCATACATTTTGAGGGCATCATTTTTTACCTTCACTAGGCAGAATCTGCTTCTGCTTCCCCAAACTCGGCAACCCCTATACCAAAATGACTTAACTGAGAAATGGTTCCAATGAATTGCACTGAAGAAAAGTGATCACATCAAACCAGTGACAATCTGGTTTTAAACCTTTTTGAAGAAGTGCAGAAATTGAATTTAGCTTTTACAAAAAGAAAGAAGAGGGAGAGGGGAAATACAAAAAGGAAGAAGAGAAGAAATATATGCTGGGAAACACCTATTACCTTAAAGCAAGATTACAAAATATTTTGGCCATAAACCCTGCTGAACCAGTAGAGAAGCAATTGCTGTGTCTTTTTGTCCAAGAGTCAATCACCTTCCCCATGGTTAAGTCATTTCATTCAATGGACCCAGAAGAAAACTTGAGACTTCTACAAAAGTTTTTGTTTGGGTTTTGTTGTTGTTGTTGTTGTTGTTGTTGTTTTGAGACAGAGTCTTGCTCTATCGCCCAGGTTGGAGTGCAGTGCTGCTACGATCTCAGTTCACTGCAACCTCCACCTCCTAGGTTCAAGCAATTCTCCCACCTCAGCCTCTTGAGTAGCAGGGACTACAGGCAACTGCCACCACGCCCAGCTAATTTTTTGGTATGTTCAGTAGAGAGGGGGTTTCACCATGGCCAGGTGTGTCTTGAACTCCTGACCTCAAGTGATCTGCCTGCCTCGGCCTACCAAAGTGCTAGAATTATAGGTGTGAGCCACCGCACCCAGTCTTCCCAAAGTTATTTTAACAACATAAACACCATCATGTGAAGGATTTCTGTATATTCATGTGGAAAATTGCATGAAGCCCTCACTATGTGCCAAGCCAGGAACCTGGCAATGGTGCAGTTATTTCCTCCCTGAACTGCTGGGATGATCATGTATTTAAATGTCATGTGGGATCCTCCAGCTACCAAACAGAAGTATTGCTTTCCACTTACTCTGGGCACTATCACTATCAAAGGGAAATTGAGCAACTTAATTCTCGTGGAGGTTGTCATGCTGCCGTGTTTCAAGATTTTATGAGAACATTTGACTGTTTTACTTGCCATTTATTTTGGCAAGATAATTTATGAGATGGCTTCTGAAGTCTATATATTATATTAAGCCAAAAAAGAAAGATAGGATCAGAAGGGCCCCATCCAGCTCATCCAATATTATAGGATTAATAGTACTACAGCCCAAAGGTAGTCCTACATGAAGAGTCGTTGTGAAGTTTGAAAAATAATCAAACGTGAGAAGATGACCACCCCATATCTTTTCTAGGAGCACTGTCTGCCTGACTACCCTCTTCCCAAGAACCTAATTACAAGCAAAGAGGTTTTAAATCAGAACACAGAAATGACACATGTAAGCTCCAGACCCTTTGACCTTGCAGAACCACTGTGATGTGCTTACAAGTCTTGGAAAGTATGGAAAGATCTATGAAAGGTCAGTTCTGTAACACAAAGTATTCTAGAATCCCCCCAATTACAGCAAATAACGATCTCATAAATACCTTGGTACTTCAAATTGCAACGTATTTTGCTTCCAATTTGCTGAGGTTTCAATACTGGCTGGAATAATTCTCTCCATTTGGGGAGAAAATAGGTTACAATTGATTAGCCAGATGTGGGAAGAAAACCATTTCATTCCAAGAAAAGTCTGATTTATTGATATTAAAAAAGCAGGAAATCTATTGCCTGTTTGGGGAGTTATTATCTAGTTGCTGGTCAGAGAACCTAATAGCTTTACCTTGTTTTTTAAAAAGTCATTGCTGAATTTGTTGAATATGATTTTTGGTGCCTGCTGCATAAGAGTGGCTTGATAAATGTTTGATGAATAATCAATGAATGAGCTGAACACATATGTTGAATTGTATCAAGTTGATAACATGGCAGTGCAGGTCTCAGGCGCCAGAATCAGGCTTCACAATTTGTCACCTATGAGACCTTACATAAATTAGTTCAACTCTCTGAGCCTCAGTTTACTCATCTGAAGAATAAGGCTGTTAATAGTATTCTCTTCACAGGGCTTTGAAGAAAATTAAATGAGGTAGCTAATGTAAAAGATGTTTCATAATTTGGGGCACACTAAGTATTCCATTCAGTTATACATCTTTGTTCTACTACAATCCTGACACTATTCCATATGAAGGAAACAAATCAAGCTCTTGCTATATAATTATAATGCTTCCATCAGTACACTACACAACTAATTCTTAGGTCTAGCTGGAATATCACATTAGTAATGACACTGATGTTACAGCTGGATGCATCAGGAAAATGTGTATTCAGTACTTAGTAATGTCTGCCTCAGCATAGGAATGGTGTGACCAATGAGTGACCACAAGCACATACTGTGTGTGGCACATGGTGTGTGAACAGGGGATGTTTTTGGAGAAAAAGGAGTCTTTACAGTGCAATGCTTAAAATTTCACAAATGGATGAGCTCTTCAGGATAAAAATTTACTTGAAAACACATCAAATAAACTCAAATCCAGAATGGGAAAGAATTTGCATTTTGGATTAAACAGGGAGAGGCAGGAAACTCAGTTATATTAAGTCCTTAAAGCCCTAAATCTTCAAGCATTTTACAACTTAGAAAAACTGAGGACTAATCAAGCAAATGGTATGATTAGACTTGGCCCCCTTCCACTATAGACCTCACTGTGTCAGTTCTTACTGATAAAGAAGAACTTAAAGAGGAAAGACTACAGAATATTTCTCCTCTATGAAAAATTCAAACTGAGCTGAGTGAAACATGACTTAGCAAATTCACAAAGTGCTTATGCATTTTTAAAAGAGGCAGCTCTGCAATGTACCCACACTTCAAATTTTCCACCTGCTAATGGCTGTGAGCACAATGCACATCATTTACTGCAACAGCTGGGAAAACTGCTTTTCCCTGTCTTCTCTGTCAATGATGTAGGAGCCTGCCAGTCTGGGAGCTAGGTGGCCAGATTTAATTTATCGAG